GATAGTGTCTTAACTTACTTCTTTTTAACTGGCTTGCATACAACAACATGGGATGACCAATCTTTCTTCTGGCAGTCTACAGAGCAATAATACGTCTGTTTACATTGTGAACATCTCAGGGACCCTAAAATAAATTAGAGTCAGTACTGTGCCTCACAAACAGATAAATAGGTAACAATCATTATAAAAGGTAACTTTACATGTATGATCAGTTACCTGTTAGATTATTATATAAGAAGGCATTTTAAATTAAGCTTTGTCCAGGTATTTAAAAGAAAGGGTGCAGATATGCACCCAAGTAGGTATAAACATTTACCATTACTTCTTTTGCTTTAGCTACTTAGAATTTCATTCTCTCTCTCCAACGAAAAAGCAAGTACTTCAGCAAACAGTGTTAAACTGCCTCTGCTGTGTTACTCTTGGCTTTTCAAAGCAGACTGATTTTATTGACAATTCTGTCTGATGATTCTTAATCTTCAAAAATTTAAAATAAAGTATGTACTATGCCTATTCCAAAGTTAAAATTAAGTGTAAAATAGGGGTGCACAGATAGACAATTTTATGGCTGATACTGATCGCCGATTTTTAAGGAGGCATACCAACCAATACCGAACTAATTTCCGATACCAGCCTGGCAATGTGGAGAGCTGCTTCCAGCTGGTAAGTCTGGTGTGGTAGGAGCAGGGAGCAGGAAGGGGTGGGGGGGCCCTGATCAAGGCCCCCCCCATGGGGAGATGTGGGGCAGGGGCTGCCCAGCCAGGGTGGGGCACAGGGAAGTCGCGGCTCATCCAGGGAGGAGGGTTGCGGCTCTTGCCGCCATTCGCCACTCACCTGGGAGCCACTGGTCCAGCACCTCGTCCAGCACTCGCTGCTCATCCGGCGACTTCCACCGCTCATCCAGGAGGCCACAGGGTGGAGTGCGTGCCCCCAGATCTGTGCAGCACAGGCTGGGACCAGGGCTGCACCAAGCTCTTCCCAGAGGGGCAGGGCTGTGCTGGGAGGGAGCTACAGGGGCAGTCACAAATTGGCCCCTCCCACCAAAGCCCCACCCCACTGGGAAGAGCTTGGTGTACCTCCAGCCCCAGCCTGCCTCATGCAGATCCCAGGGCACACGCCTCCTGGGCCCTCCTGGACTAGTGGCAGGAGCAGCAGCAGGAGCCACCAGACAACCACCAAGTGAGCCACTGGACCAGCAGCTCCCAGATGAGCAGCACATGGCAGCTACTTCCCCCAACCCTGGATGAGCTGCAGCTCTGTCCTGCACCCACCTGGGCAGTCCCTGCCCCATGCCTCCCTCCCCATGGAGGCCTTGATCTGCCCTCTCCCCCTCCATGCCCCTTCCCCCCTCCACCCCCCAGACTTACCAGCTGGAGGCAGCTCTCCACACTGCCAGACTGTCTCCTCACCGCCTGTGCTGTGCCACAGCTGCACACGCCATTTACTGGCCAAATTAATTGGCCTGATATGGCAGATTTCCAGTATATTAAATTTTTTTGTATCAGTGCCAATCCAACATCAGACCAATGTATCAGTGCACCTCTAATGTAAAACATAACTTACTTTTGATGCAAGTGTGGGCAGGTATATTTATGTATCACATAGCCTTGGTAACATCCTTTTGTGCATCACTGTAAACTAATGCAAAACTCAGCGTGGCTATGCCTTTGGAACAGGAAGACTTACCAGACAGACCACAATGATGGCAAGTAGTTATCCGAGGGAATCGCACCAATGGATTGTGCAATTTCAAATCACAGTTTACAGATAAAATATTATCAGGGGAATTATGTAACTTCTGCTTTGCATGATGGAAGTCAGAACTGACAGTCTAAAAGGAAACAAATCTAAATGATAGTTTTTAAATTAAAGCTTAAATCACATGGACTAGAAATATTCAAATACAAGTTACATGCAGTTGAAGACTGCTTATCCCAAAACAAAATTGCTAAAAATTTTGCAAATCCCACAACACATCCTACTTGCTTTAACAACTGCCACATGGTGTTAAATACAGAACAAGTTTTATCTGGTGAAGGTTCTGAATCTAGAACCATTAAGAGATAACACTGCATTCTTTTTTTCTTTTTTAAGTTAAAGTTAAATACCAAATTGTTCCAGTTAAATATAGTTTTGGATCACAGTTATTCAGGAATTCCTACAGAGCATTCCTATTTGTTTAATAAGCAAAGAAAGCAAGGGATATATAAAATAGAGTGGCTTCTGAGTGCACTAATCCACTGAAGTCACAACTCTTGATGTCATCTAGCAGTATTATGTTTTTACTCACCGAAGTGCTCTGGTACTGACAATTAATAGGCATGTCACTAGAAGAGTGGTTTTCAACCTTATTAGATTCAGGTCACCCCTCAGAAAATGCTTAGCTTTCATTTATTTACTGACTGCAAAAAAAATAATAGAACAATTCTTCTGTTGCAAAAACTCAGAAAGATGCCAACATCAGAATGTTTTTGACACTATGGATTCCTATTTGAATTTTCTGGGTTTATCTTGTGAATCTCGTATAGGTGTGTGCACCCCTAACAGTGCTAATATTGTGTGCAGCACCTTCCAAAAGGATCTCACGGCACCCTGGTGGAAAACCATTGGTACAGAAGTTCTAAAATTCAATCCTGAACAACTATCATCATCACTGTAGGAGTCTGAAGGGGGTGAATTCATTTGCTTTGGCAATTAGCTACACAACATTTATTATAGAAAAAAACATGAGCCTTGGATCTCACTTTTGAAAGGGACCTTAACAGCTTGACATTGAAAACTGAATACCCCACTACACTGTAGCAGGGTATATCTTATACATAGTTTTTATATCAATTTAACCAAGTTTGTTTTTAAATTGAGCTAGTTAAAGCACTGCGTCTCACTACATTGTGAACTCCAAATAAGAAAGACAGACAGCCATGTTAGTCTGAAGTCAGGCAGAAGACAGGGTAGGGTGGCACCTTACAGATTTGTTCAGAGAGCCACGAGCTTTCGTGGGCTGCAGCCTACTTCACAGCATCTGACAAAAAGTAAGCTTTGGTAGATACAGCCTCTGTCTAGTTGTGTAATTTAAAGCAACGCAACTGGAGCAGCTGCCCCAACTTGAGGGGATGGAAAGGAACAGAAAAAAGCCTCTGCCACCATAGCCACAAGATTCACTGGCAATACCTGAAAAAAATCACTGCGTGCGTTTTTTTTTTTAAATCAGATCCCTTTTCAACTTCCACTATGTCAGCTTTTTTTCCAATATTTGAACAGTTAAATGTGCATCTGACCGAAAAGCCAAGTGCTAAATATTTGCTTACTACCCATCTGCATTGTGAACCAGCCACTTAGATGAAGTTCAAGATTGAATGGCCGAGGCACCCGTCTTCCTACGTTGTACCACCCCCAAAACATAAGAAGCTGCACGTATTATAGTATTACTTCAGGGTGTGCAACAACTGCAGACTCAAAAACTGAACTTTACTGGCTAATGGTGTGAAGATGTGGCTAATCAATACAAGGACCTACAGGAAAACAGGGAGGCCTTTAAGCAAAACCTTTTAAGAAAGTTTTCATCTTTGTCCAATTGTAACATCAGAAGAACTTTAGGAAAGCTACATACGAAAAATACTGATGGAGAAGGAAATTAAGCACATCCCTCAAGTTTTTGCCTATTTTAAATTATGTTGCTTGCTGTTAACACATTACGCATCTAACACCACCTTTAAAATAAAAGGAATTTAGAACTAAAATTTATTCAAGACATCAGAAAAAATATGAAATTGTAATAATTTATATACTTCTTGTAAATTACAATGAAGACAGTGCTGAACCACAAAGCAGTTAATTTTTTTTTTAAACAAGCCAGTTAAATATTCAACCACTTTAAATTTCTAATTATCAATGAGAATACCCAGTGTATATTTTTCTAAGTAACTTTGGGGAATCAATGGTCAATTTCATACAGCAAAGCAGAAAATAGAGCAAAATCACAGAAACTCTACAAAGAAGGCAGGGAGGGGAATACATGCTGACCATTTCTTGGTTTGTGCAATTCAAAATATTTGGTGTAAAGAGTTAGTAACTCACTGATTTTACCTTCCCTGCTGAAGGTACCAGACTATTTTTGCAGCTGGTGGTTCCCACTGAATTTCCTAAAAAGAGAAAAGTGTTCATTTGATATTATAATTTCATTATACTAACAGGAATAATTTCAACAGTCAAGCTACAGAACAAGTAATATGAAATTTAAGTGACAGCTACTTCTGTTGCTTCTGCAATTTAACATAAGTCAGCCATCACACAAAGGATATTAAAACTTCCATGTCATGTCATAGTACAGTGACAGCTCTATTATGTAATACAAGATGCTCAACAAAAAATAGAACCAAAACAAGCACACCGTGCACCCAGCAAATGGCACAGAATAGGAATCATATGCATTAAAAACACAGATGCAACTCAAAAAAGGGAGAGGGGGATCTGATCACACAAAATTTAAAGATGAAGAAGTCATGTCAAACTGGTCTAACTCTTCTACTATCATCAGGAAGTAACACCCAATATATTTCTTAACTTAATTCTATTATAATAAAGGGCTTGGTCTGTCTGTCTATAACGCTTTTGGCCAACTGTACATGTGCTGCCAAGAGTGCAAGCAGCAATTGGCTGTGTGGGCCCAACTTTGCACCACTGCTGGGGAAGTTTGTGGCGATGGCAAATGCCTCAGCTACCTGAGCAGTGGGGCTTCCCCCCACCTCCCTGCCTGAGGGTGAAGGGGAGGGGGTAGGGGATGGCAGTGCCCCCCAAGACACCCAGCAGGGAGGGGAGCAGGAAGGGTGTAGGCAAAGTGGGGCGGGGTCACAGTGGTGGCTGTTGCCAGGGCTGGGCAGCAGGGAGAAGAGGGAAGGGGGGGGTCATGGTGGCAGTGCCCCCCAAGACACCCAGCAGGGAGGGGAGCAGGAAGGGTGTAGGCAAAGTGGGGCGGGGTCACAGTGGTGGCTGTTGCCAGGGCTGGGCAGCAGGGAGAGGGGGGAAGGGAGGGGGGGGAAGTCCCGCTGCTCCAGGAGAGGAGGCAGAGGCAGGCAGGAGGTAGGGAGCTGCCACATCAGAGGCTGGAGGAGGTGGTAGCAGAGAAGGTACTACTTGCAGGGTGGCCACGAGACACACTGTGAAACACTGTCATTCATTACAGCCAATTGGCTTATACAAAATAATTGATTTTAGAGTTTGAGAGTCTGCTTATAATACCGTTGAATGCACAATGTCAGTTACCCTTGTTACTTCTATGAAAGACCTAACAAGCATTTAAAAATAAAAAAAATGTGATTAAAAATAAAGTCTGAAGTGACTCTATTAAATATTATGGTAGGTTAACAAGCTTTTTCCTTGATTAGACATTTATGTGCAATAACTTGTATGTCTATACATACATGCATGCATACAGCATTACCCTTTTACCAGCTATTCATGTCAGTTTTATTCAGAGTGGTATAATTTCATATTAGATTGGAAGTTCAACTACATGTGTGAATGTGTTATACATAGATATAAAAATAGCTGCAGAAACCATTTTAAGAGAGGGTATGCTCCATCACCTGTTTGCATTCTGCCACTTATTTCTGATCCAATCTCTTTCTGTTTAAAGCTGTTTACCATTTCAATGGTGGAAGTAGTGCTAGCACTTCCTGAGCTGTTCTGACAAGCAAAGAACTGTTTGGTTTGTTCACAAAAGAAGAAGTTGCTGTTGGGCAACCTGTAGCTACCTCCAAGGTCAGGGCTTTTCAACAAGAAGTTGGGATAAGTGAAAGGGCTTCTTAAAGATTCAGTTGGCATTTTGGTCTCCTGGCTTTTTTTGTGAAACCGTTGAGCCATCTTGTAAACATCTACCCCAAATTCTTCCTTGATATCACAAAAGTCTTAACTACTTAAACCTGGATAGAGAGAGAAAGGCAGTTAGACTCATGTTTTTACTGGATATGGCATTCAACTCTAAAATATTTAAATATAGCTTAGCTATAAAAAAATTTAATATTAATTATTAGCCTAATGATAAAAATGTCCATGAATTATTATCCTAAAATATAAACAGTGATTTATTTTTCTTACTTAACATTTCAGCCACTTTACTAAACAAAGCAGTCCAAAATAAGTAGCAACAATGGACAGAAATCAGCAGTCTCTCATTGTTAAGCTACAGAGAGCTCAAAGGCATGAGGTTTCCTAATGTAATAGATGTTGCACCCTCCTATCCACAAGCCAGAGTGGGGTTTTCAAATGTTGTAAGCTGAGAAAACATCCAGTTTAGATTTTGCAAAGGCTATCAGGAGAAGGAACAATTCAAGCCTCTGGTTTAAAAGGGATTTTTGGCATTTGCTTTACAGAAGCTCCTGTTCACTACAACTGTGTAGCACAGAAGTACTGGGTGGTTACTACAAGTGTTAAATCAGAAGTGTAAGACACAGACTACAGGGCTCCTGGGGGAACCAGGAATCAGGAGCAGGGAAGGCAGCTGCAGCAGTGTTCATTCCTGCAGCTCCCTGAGCTGACAGAGGGGTCTGTGGGGCCCACTTTTGCCCCACCACCCACTGCCAGTCTGGCAATAAGGAAGTGAGTAGCAGTGTTATGGCTCCCTGAACCAATACAGTAGCTGATCAAGACACCTGCAGGGATTAACACCACTGCTGCTCACCCTAACACTGGAGAAGAGTCTGGATCTGGCCCACAGGGATTCCCACAGTCCATATCTGGACTGGGGATGGGAAGCCAAAACAAACCTGACACCTTTCTGTTAAGTTATTTACTGATTTACAAAAAAAGGATCACAATAGAGACAAGTGAGTACCAATGAATACTATAATACAAACTCCTTATTTGGCCTTCAAAGGAATGACTTTCTGAGCAACAGCTGCATGACTACTTTCTGCCCAAACTATTTTAGCTCATCTTTCCTGAAGCAACATTAAACATGCTACCTAAAGTGAGTAAACTGAGCTCTGTGACAGGCTGATAAGCCAACAATTAAAAATCTCAACTACATGGATAAGTCCAATCTAGAACCAACTGACACATCATAATTGTGGATAACGTGTGCAAAAGCATTCATTTCTCTCTCTCAGAACACGGCCTCCAATTCAAGTATGAAACTTCCGAGAAATATTTAGTATCAAAAATAAAAATTATATTATGCAAAACCTAGTGTCAATAAGTAGCTAGACTAAAGGAATGCCAGACTAAAAAATAGATCTCCCTGCCCTTAAGCAAATCCAGTTTTAATACAGGGACAAAAGCATCATTAGCCATGACAACTCCACAGGTGCAGAAAACGAGGAAGAATCAAGGAACCCACTGTACAAGACATGACTTTGCTGTAACATTACAAATAGCCTAAACTTATTGCTAAAAGGGACACTTTCTGACTAGCTTTTTTTGAGGTGCTTCGTTTCAGAAACAATAATTTATGATTAAGAATTTTACATGGTTGCATCCCTACCCTAAATGTTCTGGAAAGTCTTGAAGCAACCATACCCCCATGTAAGCATGCTTTTTATTGTGATATGTCAATAGGACACTTGCTTGATTTAAAATTAATTTTTTTAAGCTATACATTTCCATGCATTTAGTCCTCAATGAGGAGAGCAACTCCCTCGCTGCAGAAGCTTCTACCAAACTGAGCCGTTTGATAGGAAGCATTTCTGCTTTGTAAGATCATCACATTACAGACAAGTACGCCGTTCACAGACAAAGATTACGTTATTAAGATAACGAGTGCTGCACACTGAAAGTGTTGTGCTAGCATCGCAAACACTTATCCAATGCTATCTAGTTTGGAAGTTCAGACACCCAAGGTTTATGATCTGTGATTTGCACAAACCACTTATGCTCTGTACCTACTGGAGCTTCCCAGAGAGTAATTTATAATACCGAAGAGGTAATTCTTACCAAAAAACCCCAAGTATTTTTATAGTTAAGAGAAAAAGAGTCGTTTTATTCCCTATATAATGTTAACTAAGGGACATTCCTTTCATAATACCAAAGGGACAATTCTTACCAAAAAAATAAAATAAAGTTTAAAAAAAAGAGTATTTTTACA